ATTTTTTCACACAAATAGATATTTATTTTGGTGGTATTAAACACCACTTGTTACCATTTTTTGCTTGTTTCTTGTTTTTACAAATAAATGGTCTTTCCTTCTAAATGTAGACAAAGGTGTATTCTGCGCCATTTCTTGGGTACAATAACCCCAATCAGTGTCTATGATTCTGTGTGTAGGAGAGTTTAGAGTCTACAAACTATGGGATAGATGTCTGAAAATCCATCATGTCTGATGACGGCAGATCTCATTTCTGAGGATCAAAAACACCAGAACGGTACAAATTGTCAGAACTTTATCTGTGAGGAAATAATCCGTATACAATTCATGGAAACAGGCGGGATCTGGAATGAAGGAGATTCCCTACTAATTCTCACAAAGTAACCGACATCCCAGTTCTGTATTTGTGATAATTGGAAGACAAAATAAAAACACAATAATGTGCAAAAATATATATTTATTAATAATATAAATCAGTACAAAATGGGGATGAAATATAATAGGTGATGATAAATAATAAACAATACAAGATAACAGTACAATGATCTAATCCACAATAATGGGGAGAAATACAAGCCAGCAATTACTTCCAAATATTAATGAATTACATCCAACTGTCTGGAAATGTCGTGTAAGAAATCAGTAACTCAGCAACATGTGACAACAGATATACAAATCCCCCCGTGATCTCTCTACAGCCAGATATTCAACGCTCAACGTGCACCTTGCCATGACTTGATCTGGAATCCCATACACAGGCCAATCCAATCCGCTTACAATCTGAGATGAAGATGTAATGTTACATGAAGTAGTCTACCTTGTCATATATACAGTCATGGCCGAAATTGTTGGCACCACTTGATATTTCTCCAGGAAATCTGTATTTCTCACGAAACGTATTGCATTAACACATGTTTTGCTATACACATGTTTATTCCCTTTGTGTGTATTGGGACAAAACAAAAAACAAGGAGGAAAGAAAGCAAATTCGACATAATGTCACACAAACCTCCAAAAATGGGCTGGACAAAAGTATTGGCACCCTTTCACAAACTGCGGATAAATAAGAATGTTACAAGCATGTGATGCTCCTGTAAACTCACCTGGGGCAAGTAACAGGTGTGGGCAATATAGAAATCACACCTGGCAAAGCAGATAAAAAGGAGAGACGTTCACTTAACCTTTGCATTGTGTGTCTGTCTGTGCCACACTAAGCATGGACAACAGAAAGAGGAGACGAGAAAGGTTTTCTGAGGACCTGAGAACCAAAATTGTGGCAAAATATCAACAATCTCAAGGTTACAAGTCCATCTCCAGAGAACTAGATTTGCCTTTGTCCACAGTGCGCAACATTATCAAGAAGTTTGCAACCCATGGCACTGTAGCTAATCTCCCTGGTCGTGGACGGATGAGGAAAATTGATGAAAGATTGCAACGCAGAATAGTCCGGATGGTGGATAAGCAGCCCCAAACATGTTCAGTCGTCCAAAGACATTCAAGCTGTCCTGCAGGCTCAGGGTGCATCATGTCAGCGCGAACTATCCGTCGACATTTAAATGAAATGAAACGCTATGGCAGGAGACCCAGGAGGACCCCACTGCTGACACAGAGACATAAAAAAAGCAAGACTACAGTTTGCCAAAATGTACTTGAGTAAGCCAAAAGCCTTCTGGGAAAACGTCTTGTGGACAGATGAGACCAAGATAGAGCTTTTCGGTAAAGCACATCATTCTACTGTTTACCGAAAACGGAATGAGGCCTTACAAAGAACAAAACACAGTACCTACGGTAAAATATGGTGGATCTGTTCAATGATGTTTTGGGGTTGTTTTGATGGTGCCTCTGGCACTGGGTGCCTTGACTGTGTGCAAGGCATCATGAAATCTGTGTGGATTACCAAAGGATTTTGGGTCGCACTGTAGGGCCCAGTGTCAGAAAGCTGGGTTTGCGTCCAAGATCCTGGGTCTTCCAGCAGGACAATGACCCCAAACATACGTCAAAAAGCACTCAGAAATGGATGGCAAAGAAGCGCTGGAGAGTTCTGAAGTGGCCAGCAATGAGCCCAGATCTAAATCCCATTGAACACCTGTGCAGAGATCTAAAATTGCTGTTGGGAAAAGGTGTCCTTCCAATAAGAGAGACCTTGGAGCTGTTTGCAAAGTGAAGAGTGGTCCAAAATTCCGGGTGAGAGGTGTCAGAAGCTTATTGATGGTTATAGGACAGCGACTGATTTAAAGAGTTATGTTTTCCAAAGGGTGTGCAACCAAAATATTAAGTTAAGTAGGTGCCAATATACTTATTGTCCAGCCCATTTTGGGGTTTTGTGTGACATTATGTCATATTTGCTTTTTGTCTGCCTCTGTTTTATATTTGTTCCAATACATACAAAGGGAATAAACATGGTGTATATGCAAAACATGTGTTACATGCAATACCTTTTTTTAAGTGTGAAATACTTGATTTTCAGGAAAAATATCAAGGTGCCAACAATTTTTTGCCATGACGTTGTATATACTGTATACATCCGGATAAACCATTGACTAGAAGCCAGAATCAGCCTACAGAGCACTTCTACCCCCTTCCTGTCCAGGCCAATTTCTAGCTTTCAGCGCTGTCGCACTTTGACAATTGCGCAGTCATACAACACTGTACCCATATGAAATTTTTATCATTTTTTTCTGACAGATAGAGCTTTATTTTGGTGGTATTTAATCACCTCGGTGTTTTTTATTTTTTCTTAAACAAACCAAAAACCACTGAACATTTTGAAAAAAAAAAATTTTTTTCTTAGTTTTTGTTATAAAATTTTGTAAATAAGTGATTTTTCTCCTTCACTGATGTGCACTAATGAGGCTGCACTGATGGGCACTGATGAGGAGGCACTGGTAGGTGGCACTGATGGGCACTGAAAGGCAGCACTCATATATGGCACTGATAGGCAGCAGACACTGACTGGCACTGATGCACACTGATAGGCGACACTGATTGGCATTGATTTAGGCGGCACTGACATGGACTGGCACTGATGGCACTGTGGTGACACTGAAAGGCAGCACAAATGGGCACTGATATGTGGCATTGATGTGCATTGGTAGGCAAATATGTGGCATTGATGTGGCACTGGGGCACTGGCACGTGGCACTGTTCAGAACTGACAGCTGCACTGATGGACAGGTGGGCACTTCTGGGGCCACACTGATCATCAGGGCACACTGATCATCAGTGCCCTGATGATCAGTGTACATGTCCCCTCTGCAGGAATGATGATTACTGGCTCTCCTCTCTCTGTCAGTGTGACAGCTCGTGAGGAGAGAAATGCTGATAACCGACATTTCCCTGTTTACATGTGATCATCTGTGATTGAACACAGCTGATCACATGACCAAGCCGACATCTTTGGCTCTTTCCAAGGGACACAGCACACCGCCAATCGTCGCACTGCGCGCTCCCAGAGCCACACATGCGTGGTGACAATGGGAGGACGTCATATGACATCCTCCCAGAATGAGAGAACCACTTTGCGCCCATCATTGGACTATATGGCGGGCGGGGGAGGTGGTTAAAATAAATCTTCCCCAGAGGAGTGAAATGAAAATAATTTATACTGCAGGTAAAATGACTTCACATTGTAGCAATCGTGCACACCGAGATGGACACGGTCATCCATCTTCTTTAAGAATCTTCCAAGCTGTATCATCTCTACTCCCAAATCAGCTTTCCTCATCCCCCCTCCTCTCTGTTGAGTGACATGTGGTCTGTTTGATGCAGATCACAGGCAGCAAACTCCATGGGAGGGCGTCATGGCTATAAATCCCACAACTGAGCTGGGGCCTAGATGTCTGTTAACTTTGCAATCTGGGCTCGTAAAGCCATAAACCAAGTCCTTCACTGAGTTCAAAAGACATTCCAAGGGGTCGTAAAAATAGACTTACATTTAAAAACTCACTTTTCATATAAGTTTATATCTTCAAATAGGACATAATTACCTAAACATGGAGCCCATATTCGGACAGCTTAATTTAAGACCATTCTCCAGGTATATTACACCCCCTAGCTGGCATATACAGGAGAGCTGAAAATTACATCTTCTTAACCATTCCAGTGGATATTTCATATTTCATATCTATCCGTTCAGCCAAAGATTCTGCGTAATAATCTACTCGTGGATATGTATCCAGAATAAGTTATGAACCATAATATAATTTTTGCAGGCTTTGGTCATAGCCTGAGGTCTCCACCTACAACTCCCTCCCCAAATGAGGCGATTGGTTTACTGCTCCAGTCAGACACCCTGTGGAGTTGCTAGAAAAAGCTAAGCTAGGCTGAGTTGAGGTGGGTGAGCGTTGAAGATTCTCCCTTTAACATTGGAACCAACTTTGGGAAAAACGCCCTTTTGCTCAGAAAACTTGAAGCTGCTTAACCCAAGGCTTTTGGCAAGTACTTTATCCCTCTAAACTCCTTTCCGTTATCTCTTTGCTGTGTTATTGTTCTCTGTATATTTTTATATATATTGGCTACATCTTTTTCTGTAAATATTTTTATTGCACCCTTTTGACCTTTTAGTAATAAATCTTACTTTCTGAAAGTGTTGAACTGTTTCTAAAGCTCTTTAATGCAAACTATGTATTCCTGCCTCTGAAGAGCGCTACTGTGTGTGTTTAACCCTCTGTATAACCTGCCTGCGGTGACAGTGGTGTACAGACAATTATTCAACCATCCTAGTGTTATTGCTGATATTGCCGAGTTTTCTCTTTCTCTGTACAAAAAGGAGGTGGTGGCAGTGTGAAGGGTTAATTGTGTAATTAACCTGACCCAGTAACAATCGCTCAGGCTTCCGGTACATCGATTGTGGTCCAGTGAGCTGGAAAATCATTGTGCAGGGTGCAGCTGTGCATGACATTGTTACGCACATGACAGCGCGGTTTTAGATTGGCTAGTCCTTTGGTCATGAGTTTGGTGAGAAGGTCAGGGGTCTGACGCCGCGCCCGTCACATATTGGATGGCAGCGTATGTGGGATAGTTGCATTAAGAGCTTCGGTGAAGTGTTAGGAATTAGCTCTGCACTGAAGGATTGTAACCTTTGTGGAAACAGTCCTTAGAGACAAGCGGTGCATATGTTTCATATACAGTTGTGTTCAAAATAATAGCAGTGTGTTGAAAAAAGTGAATAAAGCTGAAAATCCTTCTAATAATAGCTTTTATTTCCATCCACACAAATGCATTGGGAACACGACACATTCTATTCCAAATCACAACATGAAGAAAAATACATCAAATTTGTGTTGTTCCTCTAAAAAATTTAAAGAAAAGTGAATATTAGACGGTTCAAAAAAATGGCAGTGTTTGTATTCTTCTTTACAAACTCAAACATTCACTATATAAAACTGAGAAATGTTTGAAGATTTTGCTTTCCTTTGAATGACTTCATGAATATTTGGTTGTAGTCGCACTGTTTCTGAGAACTGCTGTACATCTGTGTTGCATGGAGTCACCCAACTTCTGGCCCCTGTGATCAGGTATTCCAGCCCAGGATGATTGGACCACATTCCACAGTTCTTCTCTATTTCTTGGTTTTGCCTCAGAAACTGCATTTTTGATGTCACCCCACAAGTTTTCTATTGGATGAAGATCCAGGGATTGGGCTGGCCACTCCATAACGTCCATCTTGTTGGTCTGGAACCAAGATGTTGCCCATTTACTGGTGTGTTTGGGGTCGTTGTCTTGTTGGGAACACCCATTTCAAGGGCATTTCCTCTTCAGCATAAGGCAGCATGACCTCTTCAAGTATTCTGATGGATTCAAACTGATCCATGATCCCTGGTATGCGATAAATAGGCCCAACACCGTAGTATGAGAAACATCCCCATATCATGATGCTTGCACCACCATGCTTCACAGTCTTCACAGTGTACTGTGGCTTGAATTCAGGGTTTGGGGGTCGTCTGACAAACTGTCTCCGCCCACTAGACCCAAAAAGAACAATCTTACTTTCATCAGTCCACAAAATGTTGCGTCATTTCTCTTTAGGCCAGTCAATGTGCTCTTTGGCAGATTGTAACCTCTTCAGCACACGTCTTTTTCCCAACAGTGGGACTTTGCGGGGACTTCTTGCAGATAGCTTGGCTTCACATCGGCGTCTTCTAATTGTAACAGTCCTCACAGGGAACGTCACACCTTCTTTCATCTTCCTGGAGCTGATTGTTGGCTGAGTCCGCGCCATTTTGGCTCTTCTTCTATCCATTCCAATGGTAGTTTTTCGCTTTCTTCCACGTCTTTCAGGTTTTGGTTGCCATTTTAAAGCATTTGTGATAATTTTAGCTGAGCAGCCGATCATTTTCTGCACTTCTTTATATGTTTTCCCCTCTCCAATCAACTTTTTTAATAAAGGTACACTGTTCTTCTGAACAATGTCTGGAACTGAACGACCCTTTTTCCTCAGAATTTCAGAGAGAAATGCACTGTAACCACCATGTACAACATTTGCTGCCTTCCTTCCTTAAATAAGGGCAATAATTGCCACCTGTTTTTCAAAGAATGAATGACGTCACTAATAGAACTCCACACTGCTATTATTTTGAACACAACTGTATATAGAGAGAAAGACATATAGCAACAGCTCCTTCCTTTTTCTGCTTCCTATTCTATCTTTGCTTGCAATTATGCCTGGTGACGCAGAATGCAAGAAAATGAGCAAAAGTAATTTGAGTGCTGAATGTGCCTCATGAGGAATGGACATCGGTTGCAAAACTCGTAAAGATTTGATTTGGCACCTACAGGAGCATGATAGCCGAGCAGACCAGAACAAAACTCGAGGGAACCTGACCATGATGGGGTTCCCCCTCCTCAGATCCCAGGGGCTCAGAGATGGCCTCGCAGGATGGGCATACAGAGACTGACACTGGAGTATCATCAAATGTTATCTTCACACCACTACCTGAGTGGGCCAGCACCAGAGAGCCTGTAACCAGTAGAGATTCTCCTCAGATGCAGGAAGCCCTGAAATGCATCATGGAGACAGTTCCTGGGGCATACCTAAAGTTCCTTGACTGCCAGGCAGAGAGGAAGGCCTTGGTATATGACATACTCCTGACCACTGCACTCTATACACAGGGCTGTATATGACATACTCCTGACCACTGCACTCTATACACAGGGCTGTATATGACATACTCCTGACCACTGCACTCTATACACAGGGCTGTATATGACATACTCCTGACCACTGCACTCTATACACAGGGCTGTATAGGACATACTCCTGACCACTGCACTCTATACACAGGGCTGTATATGACATACTCCTGACCACTGCACTCTATACACAGGGCTGTATATATGACATACTCCTGACCACTGCACTCTATACACAGGGCTGTATATGATGACATACTCCTGACCACTGCACTCTATACACAGGGCTGTATAGGACATACTCCTGACCACTGCACTCTATACACAGGGCTGTGTATATGACATACTCCTGACCACTGCACTCTATACACACTGTATATGACATACTCCTGACCACTGCACTCTATACACAGGGCTGTATATGACATACTCCTGACCACTGCACTCTATACACAGGGCTGTATAGGACATACTCTGACCACTGCACTCTATACACAGGGCTGTATAGGACATACTCCTGACCACTGCACTCACTATACACAGGGCTGTATATGACATACTCCTGACCACTGCACTCTATACACAGGGCTGTATAGGACATACTACTGACCACTGCACTCTATACACAGGGCTGTATAGGACATATACTCTGACCACTGCACTCTATACACAGGGCTGTATATGACATACTCCTGACCACTGCACTCTATACACAGGGCTGTATATGACATACTCCTGACCACTGCACTCTATACACAGGGCTGTATATGGACATACTCCTGACCACTGCACTCTATACACAGGGCTGTATATGACATACTCCTGACCACTGCACTCTATACACAGGGCAGCTGTATATGACATACTCCTGACCACTGCACTCTACTACACAGGGCTGTATATACACATACTCCTGACCACTGCACTCTATACACAGGGCTGTATATGACATACTCCTGACCACTGCACTCTATACACAGGGCTGTATATGACATATACTCCTGACCACTGCACTCTATACACAGGGCTGTATATGACATACTCCTGACCACTGCACTCTATACACAGGGCTGTATATGACATACTCCTGACCACTGCACTCTAGGCTGATGACCTGGGAAGGCTCTCAATGTGTCATCTATGAACAATTTATGATGAAGACGTTTGTCACTCACAACACAATTTTGTTTTTTCATTCAATAAACTTTTTATTGTAATTATATTTTTAACAAGATTGTAATCATAGAATCAGGAAATAACAAAGGAAGAAATCTGATTGGTCAGGAAGATCCCTTGTCTGGAATGTGGGGGCGGAGTCATTATTATTGGTGTACAATACAATACACAACGTGTTCCATTATTATAACAAAGTATTGTAGAAAAGATCCCAACATAGAAAATGGGGGAAAGGAGGAAATAAAGGCGGATATGAAGGGGAATCTGTGTACGGGGAACACCTTAACAATCACCACCATTTTATTCTCCAGGGCCTCTGATGTCACAGAATAGATGTTTGGGGGTTTATCTCATCTTCAGGACCAAAATCTGCATTTTCCCATGTGTGCAAAATCATGCAGAAACAGCTCTGGCAGTGAGAGGGTTAATGTGGGCTAGATGGGATCACTCTGCTGGGGTGACATTAGAGCTCCCCCTAGCTGCAGCCTGGTAATAACATTTGCTGGGAGGTCTATTCATTTCTCTGCTCCATACTTCCCGTCTTTATAGAAACGTCTCCTGACATTTGGGGGTCTATTCATAGAATGTTTGTATAGCAATTCCCTCAGTGAGAGTTCATGTCCATTCCTCCTGTGTGAATGGGGGAACCAATGTTATTAGGATCACATCTGAGCTGCTGGAATGTCTTCCATTGATGGGAAATACATTGAAAACTTCTTCTCCTGCCATCAATGGTCCAACCCGGTCCCACACTTCATCCATGTCTTTGGGGGCCTCTGATCTCCTTGAACTGTGTTTCTTCCATGATGAAGATCAGCCATGGAGTATATCTGAGGTGTATATCAGGGTGTGCTTCTTCCCCACATGAGAGCTGGGATGTCCAGCAACATTCATCTAGAAGACATTTCCCGCACTCAAGGCACTAATACACCTCCAGGGTTGTGTGGGACCCCTGATGTACAGGAAGACAGGACTTCAGAGAGGAACATCCCTCACTCAGGACAGCAGAGTGGCTTCTCATCCGTGTGAGACATCTGATGTCTGTAAAGATTGGAATTCTGTGAAAAACATTTCCCACACTCAGAACAGGAATATGGCTTCTCCCCTGTGTGACATCTCTGATGTTTGTAAAGATTGCCCTTCTGTGAAAAACATTTCCCGCACTCAGAACAGGAATATGGCTTCTCCCCTGTGTGAGATCTCTGATGTATGTGAAGACTGGACTTCACTGAAAAACATTGCCCACACTCAGGACAGGAATAGAGCTTCTCCCGCTTGTGAGATCTCTCATGTTTATGAAGAAGGGACTGCCGCACAAAACATTTCCCACACTCAGGACAGGAATATGGCTTCTCCACTGTGTGTGATCTCTGATGTGTGTGAAGATTGGATATCTGTGAAAAACATTTCCTGCACTCAGGACAGGAATACGGCTTCTCCCCCGTGTGAGATCTCTGATGATTATGAAGTTTGTACTTCTCTAAAAAACATTTCCCACACTCAGAACAGAAAAATAACTTCTCCCCCGTGTGAGATCTCTGATGTCTGCAAAGACTGGACTTCACTGAAAAACATTTCCCGCACTCAGGACAAGAATACGGCTTCTCCCCCGTGTGAGATCTTTCATGCACATTAAGCACTGATTTATGCCAGAAACCCTTCCCACACTCAGAACAGGAATGTGGCTTTTCCCCCGTGTGAGATCTTTGATGTGTGTAAAGATTGGACTTCACTGAAAAACATTTCCCGCACTCAGGACAGGAATACGGCTTCTCCCCTGTGTGAGATCTTTCATGCACATTAAGCTCTGATTTATGCCAAAAACCCTTCCCACACTCAGGACAGGAATACGGCTTCTCCCCCTTGTGGGATCTTTGATGTGTGTAAAGATTGAACTTCACTGAAAAACATTTCCCACACACAGGACAGGAATACGGCTTCTCCCCCGTGTGAGATCTCTGATGACTATGAAGTTTGGATCACTGAAAAACATTTCCCGCACTCAGGACAGGAATACGGCTTCTCCCCCCTGTGAGATCTTTCATGCACATTAAGCTCTGATTTATGCCGGAAACCCTTCCCACACTCAGAACAGAAAAATAGCTTCTCCCCCGTGTGAGATCTCTGATGTGTGTAAAGATTGGACTTCAGTGAAAAACATTTCCAGCATTCAGGGCAGGAATATGGCTTCTCCCCCGTGTGAGATCTCTGATGTCTGGAAAGATGGGACTTCTGTGAAAAATGTTTCCCGCACTCAGGACAGGAATAAGGCTTCTCCCCCGTGTGAGATCTCTGATGTGTGTCAAGTTTTTTTTTCTACAAAACATTTCCCACACTCAGGACAGGAATAAGGCTTTTCCCCCGTGTGAGATCTCTGATGTTTATGAAGACTGGACGAATCTGAAAAACATTTCCCGCACTCAGGACAGGAATACGGCTTCTCCCCCGTGTGAGATCTCTGATGTGTGTCAAGTTTTGATTTTTCTACAAAACATTTCCCGCACTCAGGACAGGAATAAGCTTCTCCCCCGTGTGAGATCTCTGATGTGTGTCAAGTTTTGATTTTTCTACAAAACATTTCCCGCACTCAGGACAGGAATAAGGCTTCTCCCCCGTGTGAGATCTTTGATGTTTATGAAGACTGGACTTATTTGAAAAACATTTCCCGCACTCAGGACAGGAATACGGCTTCTCCCCCGTATGAAATCTCTGATGACTGTAAAGATGGGATGTCTGTGAAAAACATTTCCCGCACTCAGGACAGGAATACGGCTTCTCCCTGTATGAGATCTCTGATGTTTATGCAGACTGGATATCTGTGAAAAACATTTCCCGCACTCAGGACAGGAATATGGCTTCTCCCCCGTATGAGATCTTTTATGCACATTAAGATCTGATTTACGCTGGAAATCCTTCCCACACTCAGGACATGAATATGGCTTCTCCCCCGTGTGAGATCTTTGATGTATGCAAAGACTGGACTTGACTGAAAAACATTTCCCGCACTCGGGACAGGAAAATGTCTTTTTCCCAGTATGCAATCTCTGATGGGCAGAAAGATTGGACTTGTCTGAAAAGCATTTCCCGCACACAGTACAAGAATAGGACTTCTCCCCTGTGTGAGATCTTTTATGCACATTAAGTTTGGATTTAGAATGGTAACATTTCCCGCACTCAGGACAGGAATACGGCTTCTTTCCTGTGCAAGACCTTTTATGCACATTAAGACCGGATTTATATTGGAAACCCTTCCCGCACTCAGTACAGGAGAATCTCTTCCCTGTTGGAAGGCCGGCCCGGTCCCGCACAGTCTGAGGTTCCTCAGGATACGAGGAATCCGATGGTCCATCTACACTGGGTGGTGCCGGATGGACATTGGAGGGAGCGGGTTTTCTCCTGGACTATACTGTGTGATGTCCTCATCTTCTACTTTCCAGTCTGGAGACAAAGTGAGACAATCCTCGGAGGTTTTCCTCATCTCCCGGCCATGGACTAAAA